GACAAAACACACACACACACACACACGCACACACACACACACACACACACATAGAAAAGAGAAGATAGATACGGATTACAAAAGGTACATGCATTGCCATACAATAAATTAGAGTATACAACAGAGGACCGCTGAAGAGTAGAAAGGGACAGGTCTTCCCAGAAAAAAGACGTAGATGGGAAAATAATTACACAAGAATCACAGAAGAGGACGAACGAGGTGAGGGGGCCTCGGCAAAAGGGTTTCAGGCTATCAGGTGGAAGAAGGGAAATCTCTGTCAGAATAGGAAAAGATGAGCACAAGGAATCTGCAGTGCACTCTCGACATGCTTATCACAGGAGACCCCGTGTGTGTCCAGGGGGGGACATTCACATTTTTAGGACTATATCTGAGATCTACCTGACCACAATTACAGCTGGGTTCTCTTCCAAAAGTGTGAGTATCGGAATTTGGCTAAGCTAAATGTTGGATGATTCCTCCCAAGGCTCTTATTCCCACAATCAGAGCGATAATGCTACGGCTTTGTGCCTTCAAAAAAAAAAAAAAAAAAAAAAAAAAAAAAAACGAAAACAGTTATTTTATCACTCCCTCGTTTTCCTTATCTGCTTTCCTGCCACATTGAGAAACACAAAAATGCGGAGCTTTCAAATTTTTCCAAAAAAAAAAAAAGAAATAGAACATTTATTTAATCACCCCCTCATTTTTCTTTTCAGCTTTGATGAAGACATCTACAGCGGACAATCGACATGATCGGGACAACACCAACCTCCCCCACTTCAGCATCTTACCTCTTTTTCTTGAACCAATAATTAATATGTCAAATTCATTACACCATGAAAAAAAATGGCATGAATGGAACGGGACGTAACCACCCCGAATACTACGACTCCCTATCATCATCCTCCTGCTGTAAAAGAGAAAGCAAGCATGGGTGGATTTCAATTTTCGGACGTCAAAAGGAGGGGCAAAAAAAAAAAAAATAATAAATAAAAATTAAAGCTGTACACATAGACACAACCTTCAACCTACATGAACAGTGAGCGAAGAGTTTCGTGCAAAATTTACCAAGCGGCAGCAATTACTCCCGCATATGCCGCGAATTTAACAAGCAATTACTTCCGAAATTCCAAGTACCATGCAGAAGAAAAAAAACAAAAATGGAAACCTTTTTCAACATACCCACTAATGCCCTTAAAAAAAA